GGTCTTCTTCGGATAACGACAGTTGTTTCGCTCCACCAGTAGATACAACCAACGAACCGAATTGTTCGAGCAAATACAAGGGGCCCATTAGCCGAACAAAGGGAAAGACCACAGACCGATCTGATAAGACGTCTGGTGTGCAGCGTTTGGCACGAGTAAGTCTAATTTACCGCTGGTTCCTTTAAACCCAAGTAAACTCTAGAAAAGCGTTTTGTATCTTAGTGGATGATTTTTCAGCATAATTCACAAGTCGCGGTGGCGTAATAGAACCATATTTTCTGAATAGTGAGAAAGGATCGACAAAATGTATCTTAAACTCTGTTAGGAAGGTCATTAATTATGAGTGCGTTCAATTAAAATACGCGTTAGATAGAGACCGATGCTGTTATGTTGTACGGATGTTCGGGTGTGGATAATTTTTCATCGGGTACAAGAATTGGAGACAGACAGTCGTTGACACTAGGCACCAGACGTTTGATAAAGCGGTCACACGCGGCAAACGTTTTACTATGAATTCACTGTGATCATCACGTTGTATACCACCAGATATGGACACGAATAGAGAGACCCAAGATACACAGTGAAAGCTTCATTTTTCCAGTCCGCAATAGTGATGGGTAACAATGCAGCCAATAAGACAATAATGCCTGTAACTTATTGTGGAACGCCGATTTTCCATGTGTAAATGATAAAGAACAACTTGCAAAATTTAGTAAAGATTCCTTGAATGAATAACTTTGAAATATTTCGCGTATGTGGCTTTAGTCGTAAATTGACCTCAATTAGCGAAAGGCGAAAAAACGTTTGGTTATGATTAACCAGATTTGTGTAAAAGTTATAATATTACACTTTGCTACATTGAGCTACAAGTAGCCAGATGTAGACCAGTTGCAGGGTTTAGTCAAACATTCCTGGAGAGTCACAATTGTGGAAGGTTTATTGTGCGCAAATCCACCAAGGAATCCGTATATATACTTGCAATCAACAAAACCACAGAGAAATATTTATGCAACAAAGGAATGCAGAGTGGCTCCCTGAAGTGATTGAAAGTGTCATAGGACGTTTTTATTCACAGTGAGTAAAGTGTATCTCACTTGTGAAGTATTCGCACACAACTTTTAAGGCATCGTTCCAAATGGATTCAGTCGTGGTAGCTTTCGGATTCCTGTGCATCGTTCAGCTGGGGACTCGGTGAATGAGCACGACCAATTTTGTCTTCAGTCAAACGCGCATTGTTTTGATTAGCCCTATGATTCACTTGCTCCGTCCATTGCCAGTCAATCGGGATTAGTATTGTACACGGACTATTTCTGAGGAAGTGACAAGCTTCCTTGTTTGAGGGACATGCACAAATTAAAAATATAAGCATTGGGCACTGGTAGATATATATCCCATCTTTTCAGTTGCTTAGATGACTATTGGTGAGGACTTTGTTGATTCGGAAGCTCTTTTAATCTCTGAAGCTTTCGGTTAGGGTGGTGTTGTGCACATCATCAGATCGGAGGAAGTTTGCTTCCAAGAATACATTAAATTAGCTGTTTGGATCACCAACATCCGGACGACGATTTTTCCGTGACGCGCAAGGCTACTATAAGGCTAATCACGTTTTCCACAGCTCTTATTGCCTCAACATACAAATGATCGATTCGACAACCCTTATTCTTTATCTGTCGAGTTGTGGACTTAATCAAATTTCGTAATCACAGAGACCCCTTCGTTCTTATACCGAAGGAATTTCACACGAGTTATCGATCAACACGGACGTACACCGTTTCCACTGCACATCAAAGGTCATGAAAATTGAAATAATCTGTAAAACACTCAGAGTTTGAGGAATAGTCGAAACTGGAAAAGTATTCGTAAAATGTGTTTGGGTGCACAAAGTTTTCGGAATTAAAGTTTCGCCTCTTGTTAGCCCTAGAATGGAGATTTTGTTTCGATTGTCTACTTTTATGGTAGGCCTTGACGTGTCATAAAACGATACAGTTGGGAGAGGCGTTAGTAGAAGTTTTTATGAAAAATATCACGGCTGGTAACGAAGGATAGGTACAATATAGCATCAAATGTTGAGTGGGTAAGATAAGAACACTAATCAGATTTACGGAGGACAAAAATGTCTTGAAACTGATGAAATCTTCCGTAATAATTCATGGAGAATTTTCGAAACCGGTTACTAGATGGAAAAAAGCGAATAGAAAAATACCGCTATATCAAAGGTGGTGGTGTCCGCTGCAACGTAAACATTCACTAGAATTACAGGAAGAAACCTACTAAGCGAACTGCGTTGCACTGAGTGGGAACACAGTTTGTGATTTCAATAGTGAAATAACTGAAACCAAAGAAATAACGTTACGGTTTATCAAGGTAGTTCTTCACCTCAGTTGCATGTATTTGCTAGACGAACGCCCCTTAGGATATCTAGCTTTTAAAAATCATAACATCATTTTCAGTATCAAAATGCAACCAGATTTCCTGGAGCATTATCGCATCGATACTCTTTTACGCATACTAATGGTAAATGTCGCTGCTTCCGGCCAACTTTCTCAAGGGTGAGCGGATGCTACCGAAAATCACTGATGGAACACTGTCAGGGGAAGCCTAACCTTCCCTTGAGAATTTTCGCGATTTGAATTTGCAATAGACAGGGATCATCCACCACCGCGAGAACGTGTTGGCGTTTTCTCGAGGGTTTTGGATAGTTGGTCGTCAGGGTGATGAACAGAGAACGGCAACCTGGCTTGTGCAGCTACTCCATGGGCGCCCTCGTAACCCCGATATCGGATAAATGACTAGACGATGGTCGACACCATATGTACCGCATATTTCTCCCTTTTTCACCCCACGTTTGAATGGCACTACCAATAAAGACTTGCATCGTAGAACCAGGTTCGGTGATAGTTCGGCGAGACACAATGAACACTCTACACGTTGTCAGATTTTTCGGCTGCATACCCTCTCAAGTAAACTTTGAGACAGATAGTGACGTTCTCATTTGGTTTCTGCGTTCTTGTGGCCTTGGATTGTTTCACAAGTGCATGAGGCTACTGTGTCCACATTCATTATCATGTTACCCTGATGCAAGTGACTTGTTTCCCTGAAGAATACTGGTCCTGACCGCTAAACTCCCCTAGGTGTTTACCTCGTTCCGTTTGAGACTCACCGCCTGTGCTAATTTCGTACTTCTGAGGCAACTGCAATCACGAACCTTAAAGCTGAGGGCAGAGATTTTAACTACTAATTTACATTGACGGTTATCACTGTAAGCCTTTAAAACCCGCTTCAATATTCGGTCGATCTCGTTGAAGTTCTCATGTAGCCGTCTGCTTCAAGTTCTCGTGCTTAAGTTGTCAAAACTCACATCCGAACTGTTGATAGTCGTGAGGTTTGAATTTGCGTGACCTTGAGTGTTACGATAAAACTTTTAGTAGTTCAAAAGTTACAGCTGAGATTTCGAAATTAATCCACCCAAAGAAGCACGAGACTTCATTCTCTTTAACAAATGATTCCTGTTCCATGAGAGTGTTTATTAAGTTGAGTAAACGTATTCTAGATTGCTAATCTCTTTTCATTTATTGCACAGTAAATAAGCCAGATAATGGAAATATTCTAGCTTCAATAAATTGATAAATTATTTGGCTATAAACTACTCACGCATTATTTACAATACTGAAAGAACTGAAAACATGGTCCAAGAAACATTAAAGTTGATCGAAAGTTGACCTTGAAAGGTGCGGCTCGTCGAATAAGCTCTTTTTAGTGTCACCGTACCCAAACCGTTTGAAACATTCAAAATATTTTGACATATAATTGAAGCCTAGAGGCAACCTAATCCAGCGGCGCATAAATCCGATGACTTAGTTGGTCTCTTGTGGAAGTGCTTTGGAAGTGAACACAAGTCCAATTTGTTGCATATTCAACGACATTTCTCCACCAAAACATAAACCGAGAGGGAAAAACCCGATCATATCAAACCAAATCGATGGTTGTATTTGATCGCGGTGGGAAAGAGCTGCATAAAATCAATCTGGAGGATAGTCCGGGATGATTAGCCTTTTTTCTCATGTCTTTGTTTGTAAAATGATGGATCAATTTAAAATACAGCTGAGGCCACGTAATATGAAGCCGTTATGGAACGCCCAACAAAGCAGAGGACTTATTGATTTTACCAACAAATTCAAATCGCGTCGCCCGTCCATTTGGCAATGGGTTTGTCTCGCTGGTGCCCAACGAGTAATTCAGCATGCGGTGATAGCTGATCTACTAAACTAGATTTTTAATGCATTTTGTTTTACTTTTCAAACGAAGTAAATATTCATCCCGCTTGACGAGTTAGAACGGAAGTAAATGAGGGCCTTATTATTGGCCTCTTGCATACACCAATCTGGATATTGCAAATGTTATGCATTGGTAATTGAGGTTTTTCGTAACTGCCATTGGTAACTGCATTTGCGGAAGTCATATTTCTCACAGATGAAGTTTGGTATGCCTTCTCGCTTGAGGTTGGTAGCAAAAAAAGGTTGGATCTAATTAAATATTATTTTTCACGTTTATGCAGTTTCTGGAGGGCTCAAGTTCAATGTCAGATTCGTTCAATTATTGCGCAGCAGCTCGAATTTTAATTTAATCGAAAACTTTCCCATGTATCAGAATCAGGGTTAAGTTAGCTACCTCGACATTGGTTGTCTGTGGTTAGATTGTGGGGTGTATAAGAGGAAATTTGCAAATTCTGTTTGGCAGTCTACTTGGTAAACGCCATGCTCAAACGGCTGCCCACAGTGTTCAAAAATGAAAAAGGGCAAGTGGAACATAAACGAGATGAAAGCGCAATACCTGTATTAAGTCTATGAGTCATTTTAATTAATAAATCCTAGTTACGTTTCGTTCTTTGATGTTGTTTTACAACTGATGCTTAAGCAACCATCATCAAAATCGTGAAATCGTACATTTTAATGGCATGTAGCTAATAGAAACAAATACATAAGTGGATATTATATCAGATTTGTTCCCTCTGATATGAGGCAATGTCATGTTCAGTCCCGTGAATGAGGCTGGTGAAACGAAGCGTTGAGAGGAACAAATGTACTGAAGATCACCATGTTGCACGAGTTTGGTTTCGCATCTTCAAGCTTGTTGTCTACTCTCTCGGTCACAGGTAGTTGATCAAAAATGTTCCACAAAAACGCCATGGGCTTAAACGTGAGAGAAAAACTTTCTGTATGTTATTGTTTTCTAACCCAGATCTTGACGGTTTTTGAATGATGGCATGTGTGGTTATAACTAAATGCTGGTCGTATCGATTATTGAGAAACATGATTGATTGATCGCTCGATAGAAAAAATCATTTGCGTTAATGTGTACTGAACAACCGTACTATTCACGTGACATGAAAAATTTGGCCAGCGGTGCGTTTGTTTGATCTGTGCTCGTAATATTTTCTCTTTACATCTTTACACTTTATTGTGCACGAGTGTTGTGGGAGCAGTCGATCGAAAATTCGGGATGAAAAGGACTCAATTGACCACTTGTAGCTCTCTCTTTCTTTATGTACCCATTCTCACTCGCACAAATACACACATGTGCATCTATATCCTCTCCATCTTTACTTTAGATTAGTACATTGAGCGTGGTTGGCACTCGTGTTGCCAATGCACCATCCCCAAATGCAAAAGCTTCCACCAGCCGAGAAGATGACCTGAACTGCCAGAATGACGGTTCGGATGGTCGGTTCAATTTACGACTGATTGGAAAGGAGCATATCAGCGGTCCGGAACAGAATAAACTCACGGTATATCAGTAATTGATTTTCACGATTGCTTTGCACTTACTATTAACTTGTGATGGATAGAGCAGTGCAATCACATTACAGTTATTTCCTTTCATCTTTTGCACAGGTTCCTTTTTCCCATAAAATAAAACTTTGGTATACTTTTAAACTTTACCAGCAGTTAGTCAAGTACGATTCTCTGTGAAGACCACGTCTTTGGTAGTCTCTATTTTCTACATCCGGGCATTGTTTTCGTGTCTTCTCAACTGCACATCATAAGCAGCTTACACGTATTCTAAAAAACCGATTTCATGGAAATTTGTTCGAACTTTTATAGTCTGGCATCGAAAAGTGCTGTGGTGTTGCACACGCCTCTTTGAATAGTTCTATCATATCTTATTTACTGAAGGATGATTTTAGCAGGTTATCCATGTTTGGACACCTCTGTTAACTTCGCATTGCTCGAATCCTGGGTGTGTGTGGGTTTAGAGGGAAGGGGTTGACCGGATATACATAAAGGTACGAAATCCCTAAACAAGAAACGCACTTTTATAGGTCGCTTAAGGTTTCTGTTTTTGGGCCCCCTGTGATCGACCCAGTCAATAGTTAAAATTCTGGATGATATAGCTGAATGTAACCAGTGGACGTCACATCTCTTCTCGCTTTCCGTGAAAATCTAGTTAACTTGCTGTGTTGCTATCTCCGTACTACTCCCAGCTCCCGAACTTTTTCAATTAATCGTTCATCGTTGGTCAACCGAAGGGTTGACCTGAAGACAGCAATTCTCTCCGTCGCGTGAAGGCAATTGACTTATTGATCGCATTAATAAACTAAACTCAATTTCATATAGTTTGTTTACATTCTGACAATCGGCGATCTTGCGTTCCTAAGTTTCTAATCTAGTCAAATAATGCATTGTTATACTATATATTTTAGACAAGTGTCTAAACAGGATCCCTATTTTAGCTATGCGTAAAATCATTATCTTGTTCTTATATACAGTCTACCACGCTTTTTAATTTGTTGGACCAGTTTTGCTTGCAAAAGGGAATGAAACGTTTAGAGAGTAGACCCTGTTATGTTCTCTAAGGGTTTGAACTCTTTTGGTCTTGAATTTTAGCTCTTAAACTAGCCGAGGGTTGGATCTAGCTGCTTAACTAGAAGTCTACGATGGTGGCCGGTGGTGAAAATTCCATCCGGACTATTAGTGTAGTACTGTCTACAATAGACAAGAATTCAGTTTTCCTATGGAGTTTCGCCCTTATCGTTAGCATAATTTTCAGGATACGTACCGTTGATTGAGTCTCTGATTTTTCAGGATGTTGTATTCAGTAAACTCATTCGATGAGCGCTACATGAATAAATTTCTAAATTCACGTCTCCAAATCAATCGTCGTGTGCGCCCGGTAGGTTCGTTCCTTCTCAGTTGTACACTTGCTTTGTGAGTCTGACCAGAATTACAGTGTGAAACGGTAAACATAGTTCCCAGCCAGATGGACTGCAAAGTTAACAGAAACCTGGTCGGTGTGATATACGCAGATTTCTGCTAGAACCTGTGCGTGGTTTGAACTTCTGACACGGCAACGGATGTCACGAATGATAATAGTCCTCATTTTTTGNCATTTTTTGTTCTCTGACGGTCATCGACTGCTTTACATCGATTGTCATCGATAAACGCCCATCCACCTGGTATCATGGGCCTTGTGAATTGGTCTCAACATGGTCCTACTACAACGCGCATATCAAATCAACCCGTGAAATAAAATGTTTTTTTTAACTGATAGTGTATTTGCCATGTGGAACTGACATGTGTCTCATCAATTTGGAAGTCTGTCCTTATTGATTTCACTGGAACTCCAATTTTAAGTTGCCCATCAGACAATCGATCATTTTCTCCTCAATGCTGACGATAGTAACAGATGGTCGCTTATTTGTTCTATCAGTATGTAACGAACCCCAAAGCGTCAATCCTAATCGTTTAATTGATCAACAGTCATCAAATATGTGTGTGGTCAAGTTCGAATCCCAGCGAAGGCAGTCAACGTGTCCGGTTGCTTATTCCCAGTCAGTCACACCCCGTCGCATTGTTTTTCTCATTTACCATGGCACTAGTGGTTATGCGAATTTTCACTGATAGTGATTATAAACTATATTCATTTCAACTTGGCGCCTCTTACACATGTTCTAGAACTTCGAGCGACGTGGTGTGGTTAGCAGAACCAAATACATCGATCAGGGTCGTCGTACGTCCAAGAAATGGAGCGAAGCCGTGATGGTTCTCTCTGGCCCATGGTTGTTCTTATATCGAGACGCGAAAGCAGCTATGCCGGTAAGCTCTACTCCTCTAGTGTCTCATTGTAACCAATGCATTAGTCGTTTTCGGCAGCACTCAAACTGCCCCCATGATACAGTCGCATTCATTTGGAAAATAAACCACACCGATCTGTTAAAACTTTTGAAATGATTGATTCATACTATTAGTATTCTGGTACATCATGTGTATTGCTTTCCTTATCGCATCCTGGAAGGCTGCCTATTATCTGGTTCGCGAAGTACATGGTAAGCTAGTTATTTTCAGTTACGTATTTGGTTGGAACCCACTTTCAAATAACTCGTTTGTTTTAACCTTTGTACGGATGGACCCTGATTACAATATACAGTTTTTGCATCGTCGCACTCAGAAGATCTCTGTTTTGCCTTTTTATTTTATTCGTCATTGTACAAAAAGAAAACCAATTGCCCCTACGGTAAGCCGGAAGTCCGATTTCACGTCCAACAACTTGCAGTATCCGATGCTACCGGGGAAGACACATCACGCAAATGTGTCCTGAAGGTGAGTCTAATCCTTCCATTTTGCTGTAATCCTTGTCAACAATTTTGATCGCTTCGCTCGCAGCATTCGACGCAACCGATAATCGGGCTACAACTAGCCATCCTCGCTAACGTTCTCAGAAATTCAAATTTTATAATGAATACCACTAGAAAAATTTTTATTTTTATCCACTGCATTACAAATATAGTAACCGTTCAGGAAAATGATCTTAGCGAATACTAGTCTAGTGTACGCTGTCGATCGCTTTTGGTGAATATAACACTTCTTACCTGCCCGCTCCTTTATCCAAATGGGCAGCAAAAGACAGTAACCAAAACTGGCGCATGAAAATGCATGGTTAACTGAAACTGAAACCCATCGGCACCGCAACTCACCCATCAGAATCATTGATGCTCAAAATTCATCGACCACTATATCCCTCGTTCGCCATCCAACTACTACCTCCCCTTCCCTCCTTATAACCGCTATTCTGTAGTCGCCACACCGTGTTCACGATGTAGACGTGGTCGTCGGTCGACTACAATACTGCATATGACCTGAATATACCTGGTAAAATGTGTGTTCGGTTGTCGTAGTGCCTCATTTGCATTGTACCCCGCTGCATGTTAACACGCACTGCATCAATCACATATATCATGTGTCGAACGTTCACTTTTTTGCGACTGTTACACTCACACTGATTAGTCATGCTCTATGTATTTGCTAGTTGACCGGTTACCAATGTCTCTCACGTAATAAACACATTTTGGAAACAAGTAGAGTTGAAGTCGCTTGAATGGGAAGTTTGATGAGACGAAATGCGCGGGGCCTACCAAGAGTTCACTGTTGATCAATTCATTGACTTTTTCTTCAACATGTATAGAATTATCTGATTGTATAAATCTCTGATATATAATGTTTAAAGTTACTCTATGGCACCTGACATCGGTCTACCGTACACGGTGGAATAGTGTCGTGTTTGGGGGGATTCCACGGGTTTTCCACCGAATTTCAATCAAAATAATTGTATTTTCACACGTTAAGCACGTAGCTATTTAACACATCTGTCGGAAGGGTAGCTGAGAAGCTCTCAGTTTCAGTTTGAACAACCATCAACCACGCATATTCGAGCGCCGGTTTTGGTTGCTGTCTTTTGGCTACCCATTGGGATGAAGAATAGCAGGAGAAAGGAAAGTTGAAAGTGGAGTCGAAAAGAAAATGGAGAAGTTCAGTGGTCTAAGGTTGCAAAGAAATTGAGGAGATGCACGAACGCCACTGTTTGCGACACCCAGCCATATCGCTGTCTCTAACCATCGGTTA